CCCGGTAGATCACCTGCTAAACAAATGCCAAAAAAAGGTAATATGAAGGAGGTAGGAATGATTTTAATTTTAAAAAAAACCCGGAGCGCCAAAACTTGTAAAAGGCTTGTGCGACATCAAGAAATACTACCGAGGTGTAAAGTTTCTTTTCAAGAGAATAGGCAATGGTATTGACTAGACGGTATATTTGGTGAATGGTTGAGTGATGTTCTCTAAATGCAAATTGTGTGTTAAGAATTAATTTTATTTCATTGATGATTGGGTAGATTTAGTTTAATATTAATTTTTCTAGAAGTTTTGAAAAGAAAGGTAGTAGGCTAATAAGCCTGTACGAGAAGGGGATCTATAGGTTTGTTTGGTTTAGGGAAAAGAATATTGTGGCGAGTTTCCATTGAATCGGAAAGCATGAGATTTGGAGAATACCGATAAATATATGAGTAAATTGTATTATAGCTATATAGGGAAGTCTGCAGGCTATTTYGGTACTTATCAAATTATGTCTGGGATATTTACCTAGTGGAAATTTATGTATAAATGATTTAATACCGTTTGTAGTGAATTGCTTGGGAGGAAGTGTCATTGGGAGTGGGCTATCTAGGAAATTGTGTATTTTATTTTCCTTAGAAGGAGAGGTGAGGTAATTTGGGTTAAAAACTTTGAAAAGGTGTTGTCTGTGTGCTTCAGATTTTTCAGTATCATTTATTGCCAGGCTGTCATCTGATTTTTTTTGTTGGAAATGATATTGATTTAATTTTTAAGATTCTTCTAGTGGTTTTCCACAGAGAACCATCTTTTTCAGATAGGAGGCTGGTTTGTTTGGTGAAGTCTTCTGAACGTTGTTTTGACATTTGTCTTTTAAGTAATGTGCATAAGTTATTATAGATTGTTTTATCGGTAGGGTATTTGGTACTTAGCCAGGTTGCTCTGGCATGACAGATTTTTTTGATTGGAATTATGAGTTTTTGGTTTGTAACCATGCTGTGTTTTGTTTTAATGAAGCTTTTTTTTTTGTTTTTTTTTTTTATTAAGAAAGACTATTTAGAATCTGTACACAGTAATTACAATAAGCAAATAAGATAAAAATAGAATAAAGTAGCATGAATGACGTGATGAGGAAGAACCCAATGGTAACACCTCCTTTGCTAATTTAATAGGTCTCTACACCATTTTCGCTTTAGTCTGCGTGGTGGGTTTTTTGGGAGGGTGAGGAGGACATGTTTGATATTAAAGTATTGTGATGAGTGCTTAAATTTTTGTGGAAATATTTATACATTGTTTTGGCTAGTTCAGTGGTAGTTAATATTTTTAGGTCATTGTGTAAGGTAGAGTTTGAAACGTACCAGGGGGCTGTTAATGAAGCTAAATGTTGAACTGATTCATCTAGTTCTAATGGGGATTTTAAACTAATTTTAAGGTTAATTTTGTTAGATAGTGTCAATTGGAATTTTTCCCAGTTAACTATTCCATTGATTATTGATGGATTCATTAATCTTTTAAGAGGAGTGGTATTGAGGGTAAGAAGTATGGGGGAATGGTCCGAATGGTGTTTTGATAGGTTATCTGAGTTGATATTAAATCGGTTTGGTATTTTAGAAACAAATATAATATCAAGGATGTCTGGTCGCTTTCGTGGTGATGTTAGCCAATATGTGGGGTTTTATGGGAAGATGATTTTGTAATTTTTGGCAATAATAACTTGTCTACTTTAAACTACTTGAACTTAGTAAAAATATTACCATACTATTTTATATATTTTACTAGAAGGATTTTTTTTTTTATTATAAGTTAATTTAATATAAATATTAAACATTGGTGTTGAATAACGAATTATTGAAATATTTAAACATAGTGTACATCAATATTTAACATTGCCAACCAATTTATTTTAAATAATGCTACATAACATAACGCTAATAATGCTAAAAATAAYTTAACAAGTATTATTCAACATATATTTATTTTGTATTTCAYAAATAATGAAAATATATTTATTCAACTATTTTTTCAGTTCAATAAATCTCAAACGCCAACCAGTAACGTGCCATATTTTTATATATAAGAGTTTTAAATAATACAATTTTTTTAAATATTTGTATTTAGAATTTTTTTTGTGTATATTAATAAATAAGTAACAMACTTTTAATAAATGAATAAATTTTTTTTTGCATATTTTTCCTTTTTTTGCTCTTATAACTTCCGAACCTTAGTCATAAGTTATTGGACATAATAAATAATTTTTTTTTTTAATAAACCTATTTCCACAAGTCATTGTAATAATATTATTTAAGTAAATTGTTTTAATTATTGGATTACTGCCTACCAACTTACACTAACATAATAACATATATTCAAATACATAAGCACATTTAATTATCTTATTTCTATTAGGTAGGTACAATTTTTTGGTAAGGTAAAATAATTATTAGTGATACACCTAATACTTATACATTTCAATTTTATTCTGAAAATAAGTAATCAAATAAAAAAAAAAATTTATTTTCAGAATATATGTTCAAATACATTTGTCTTAAGAGGATGTTAAACCCGCATTTGTTGTTTCTGTCTTACAAGTGCATAACATAACAAATTTTATGCTCAGCAGATCACATTTAGCTCTGTTAGATTCAAATTTAAAGTGAATTGACCTCTCATAAAAATTTTAACTCACGGAGCTTAACGTGATCTGCTGAGTGTAAAATTTGGTATGTTACGCACTTGTAAGATGGAGACAACACGTGCGGGTATCCTCTTAAGTATCTAGAACTGTATTAAAGTTTAAACAGTATTAATCTACCTAAATAAGTTATATTCAAACGCTGTACAGATTCTCTAAAGTAAAATAATCTCAAGATTAAGTACCTATTAAAAGTTTTAATATTTTATCTTAATTAACTTAATGATTTAATTATATTTTTAATGTTAATAATATAGAAGTAGTTATGATCATTTTACCAGTAAAATGTAGCACTTACATGCATTGTTATTATATAGGTAGTAGGTAYATACAAAAATCATTCTGTATACCTAAAATGTTACTCGATATAGTTTTTATATAAAAATAAATTCACAATAATAACCAGTTCTTTAGACAATAAATTAACTGCATAAACTATAAAATAAAATAAATCAAGGATTTGGAAAATAAAAGAAGTCTATAGCTTAGGTTAGGTACTATAGATTTCTTTAAATTGAATAGCTATTTTAAATATTACTGTACTAAATATTTACGTTGTATGTACAATTTACATAATAGTTATAATGAATTTTATACTACCTACTAAATACTCAACAATTGCAACAGACATTATCTAAATTTAATGGTTTTTTTTTGTTTACATCATTTTAAGGAAGATAGCTCTAAAAATCACTCAGAATTATAATCATAGAAACATGAAACAATACACTTACTTTGATACTTTTAGTTTTAACTTTTAGCCAGGTATTAATATAAGTGCTTTAGATTTATGTAATGAGGATCACGAATTCTAATAGAAGTGAGCGTACACCTACAATATACTACATTGTCAATTGTCTAGCGGTTATACTCTAGCTGGGTATTCATATAAACATTTCAGACATATACACCTGACGGAGATCATGAATCTTAACATAAATGAATAAACACATATAATATACCTCTTTGTCTTTAAGACCAAGCAGCAGCACTTCTTCCATTAACGTGAGCCGTGTCTCTTTAGAGTCACCGTCGTCGATGTCTTCCTCGTAATCGAGTTTRTCGGCCGCCGACTGGCCGTTCTCTTTGGAAACGCCGTCCGCACTGTCTCTGTTGACGTTGCGCCTTTGCACCAGACCGTCGGCGCGGCTCATCATCTTGGCAGGCCGTTTGTGGATACTCGCCAATCGTCACCCGAATATCGCAACGGAAACAGAATTTCCGGAAGAAACAAAAACAAATCCAATGGCCCGAAAAAATTACGTCGTCGTGAAAGAGTTACGCTCCTAGCGTTTTTACTTTTTGACGCGAATGCGAATTTTGAGAGGGCGAGAGCACACAATTATTGATAAGGCTTAGATTTTCTTGTTGACGTCTACACAATTGCAGTACCTAATGGCATATAAATAATAATAATAATAATAATAATAATAATATCGTACTGAGATATCACAATTCACGATAATATAATACTTTTTCACTCCCCTTTCCCCGCGTGCTAATACATAAACGTCCAAAACTGAAAACTTAAGTTGTAGGTATAATATTATTATTATAGACGGACGCACATAGACATATATATGTCTATGCGGACGCATAGAAAAGAGAACTGATTACGACAGACTGTTTCATAATAATATAATACGTATTTCTATGGACGGTTACTTGTTAGTACCAAATACTACACAATATAATATTATAGTACGTCGTTCTGGAGGTTCAAACGAGGTGATAACACATTACCATTGCGTGGAAGACATGTATAAAATGTATAAATTACAATTGCATTATCGTTATCGACGATATCGTATCGTATTATCGTGTTGTGATGATGACTTCGTAAAGTAAATCCTATTATTCCTAAGTTGAGAATTCAAGATTGCAGTAGGCCTTCGGTGTTCGGTGTGACTGTCACTGCGATACTCACAAAATAGCTATTATTATTATTTATTATTATGAGTTATTTCATCATAATTTAATATTTATTGTAGAATATTGATGGTTTGCGATCGAGCATTCGCCACRAGCGCGGCATAGAATGAAATTATTAATTTAATCTCACATGTGATTATGAATAAACGGGTATCCATTAAATATTTCGGCTGTAAGGGCTATAATTTTTATATTATAATTATAGATTGATAATTAGCAATTCGGGTGTCGTATACGTCCATTTGATAAACACAACTTCACATGGGCGMAWCTAGGGTAAAATTTATGGGAGTGCTAAAATCTAAAGCACAATACGAGAACCCCCCCCCTTGTTTTAAAATCAGAAGTGTTACTGTCACCGATAATGTAAAAAATCGGTACAGACAATTTGGGAGTGCTAATGTTGATTTTGGGAGTGCTAAGCACTCCCAAGCCCCCCCCTAGTKGCGCCCATGCAACTTCAGTCTTGAGTCTACAGACATTTCTACGAGTATAATAGTACAAAAATACAGATACCACTTTCAACTTTTAGTAACATATTATATTTGAAATCATTTCTATATGTCATAAAAATAACATAACTTTACCTTCACAAGATACTAATGTAAAAACTAAAAAGAAAGAAAGAAATTAATTCCGAAGTACTTAGAATAATAAAATGCGCTAGAAGAGTCACTTACATGGCTACATCTAAAATAGATTTAAAAATCAAATTGTATTATACAGTTGTTGATTTATTTTTATTTTTATTAGCTCTTAGTATAAAACTATAATAGCTCGACAATTATATGAATTGTTGATTATATTTAGGTAGCAATTAAAAATYGATTTTTTAACGATTTTAAACGCTGTTTCATATTTAYATCCTGATATTGGTAATATACATTTATCTAGTTTTAAACGCATTCAGCCTTTAGCCAAACATTATGGGGCCAAAGTAAAACAAATATTTTAAGCTGAGTATATAAAACAGATAATGTTATAAAAAAAAATAGTAGTAATAACATATATATTAACAGTTAACAGCTGATGTACATCACGGCTTTGATCACTGCTGTGATGTACATTATAAAATGTAATTAAAAATTGATATAGCTTCTATAGAAATCAAATTTAACAATGTTATGAGATTTAAGCATTAAGCGTACAATTAATCATAAAACAGATGATCATGATTTTGTGCAATTTGTATATTATGAACATAAAATATTGCTATGCTGATCACATTAGTCTTCAGATAATCAGATGTATATATTACATTTGTCTTGAAATGAAATGATGCATCATAGTCATCACAAAAATATAATTAATTTTTTTATTTTCAGGACATCTTTATGTTTTGTTTATTTAAACCAGAGATTGAATTATGTTTAGCATCACAAACTTGGCGATTTAACATGGTTMTTATTTGGTAAAATTAATAATTATTAATAATATTTAATAATAAATGAATAAAATATAATGAATCATGAATGTTAATAATCAAAAGTTAATAACACATAATCACATTTAACCCATATGTCGAAGCATTTAACAATGTATTATCCTTAGATCTAAGGTATTATCATAAATCGTGATAACCAATCATCAACGATAAGATGATAAGGATTATTATGAAATTTCGGCGAAAGTGCCCGACGCCCTTCCATCCATCATTTACGACGTAACTCACTCTGGTGGACATCGTAAGCATCTTAGATCATAAAAAATGTGAAATGTTTTCAATTTCAATGATAATCCTATCGTCCCCATAATCAGTATTGTTCATAGACATATAAATATATTTATATGTCTATGGTATAAATTGTTCAACACGTGGATTTGTCCGGGTAATCGAGACATCAACGCTTGCCACAGTTTATCAGGTTCACGGCCGTTGGCTACACCGTACACATTCCCACCCACTACGAATCATCACTCTCGACACTCTCGTGGATTGCAGGCCACTTCCATGTTCCATTGAAATAAACAAATCCAAATTCTTTTACCCACCGCCACTACGCCACTACGGACGCAGCATAGGACCACGAGGCTCATTTGCGTGCCGGCCATTTAGTACGTGAGTCACTTGGTAGACATTGTTTGCTAATACTTCTTTTTTTTGAAAACTCGAATTAGCACTACGCGGCATCGAAATGAGTACTGAAACCGTRAACGCGTTGGTGTTTGACTATCTGAACTCATTGGATCAGAACCTTGCAAACATGTTCCAAACCAAGACTAAAGCCGTGAGTATATGCATCTATTATGGAAACCACGTGTGTGTGTGTGTGTGCCTAAAAGTTTTTTTTTTTCATACTATTCGAGTTCTGATGATATTTTACCTCGTATTAACACTAAGAGCCGTTTCTTCGTCTAATAATGTTCAAATATTCGGGCTTTGTAAAATTAAAATCATCTATATTAGAGGTTTTTCTATTTTTTTACACGTGGTATCCTAATATATCAAGCTTATGATTTTATTCCATATTTCATCGTAAGATCTTAAATTATGATTATGTTGTATGTAAATACACCTGTATAGTACTTTGAATCGATGTTGACTTTGAACTTCTAGCTAATTCACGCAGTTACAGCTATCCTTTATCCAAGATAAATAAATTGTAAACAGATTTTTATTATGTAATAGTAGTTSTAATTGTTTTAAGAATATATAGTTTTATATTTACAGTGATGTAAATATATTTGGGTATAAATTCTACACGATTTTTTTTGTAAAAAAAATATATACGTTTTTTCTTGGTCTTAATTTTGTGTTATATGCTTAGTATCTACAACAAAATAAATATATATTCTAATTTTGATTTTATTTAAAATTCCAGTCAAAACTGCAGAGAGGACAAACTAAATTAACCCAGCTAATAAATGACCATTTGAAGTAAGTATTTTCAATCTGATACATAAGTTTTTACAATAATCTGTTAACATAGCTAATTAATATTTAAAATATTTTTTCAGGACTTCTAAAAAGACAATTAAATTACAGAAAAATGGACCTTGTAAGTATTAAAATAGTTATTGTATTTATATTATTATATTGCGCTATCCAATTGTTGACCTCTACGTAGATTCTTTTGACCCTCGGAGTTGTTGGAAAGTGATCAGTTCCCCAACGGTGATTCTGTCGAACTGCCTCCGTGAAATTCTTGACTCCAAAGTGGAATTTTTCTACATTTTCGAAAAAATTTATTTGCGTGAAAAATTCTGCTTCTCCTCCTCTTGAATTTTTGATGTTCTTCTTAGGGTTCCGTAGTCGACTGCGCCAGATGTAGTAATCACTYGCCTACTGGTATCAGTAGTCTAGGATGATGTTGGAAGGTGACWCTTGAGTTAATTTAAACAACGTTGAATTCTTCTTTGTTAGACTGATTGATTATTTATTTTGACAAAACATATATTTATTTATGAACATGAAAGCTGAATTTTATTTAACAAGTTAAGTATTCTGAATGACTAGAATAAATTCGGTTTGACTCAAATATTTTCTAAGTTCAGAATATTATTTTATGAGAATTTTTCTAAGTCCAATTTAATTAATTAAAGAATAGACTGGTGTGAAGGTGCTCTGGCTAGTCTGGTCAAGTCGCGTCCGAATACAGGCCGTTTCGGGGTCTCTTATATAGTACTACCCTCTACTCCCCATAGTCTACTTGCTCTTGTCGCTGTTCTCACAGATGTGGTATAATTATCTAGACTGACGGAAATGTTACTTGCCCACATACAAATGTGCATTCYGTGCAGCTGCAGACCTCGATAATTTATATTATTATTATGTAAAAATATATATTATGATATTACATTATAACATTGGTTATTGGAACTTTTGTATTGATGTATAACCCCACACCTTGTGTACCCCTATCAATGATCTTTTATAGTCGTATGACCACATGATTTCGTGTTTCCCTAATGTTAATGATTTCCACWAAATGCTTTCTCTCCTACAATTACAAAGTTTGTCTCGCACCCTACCCTAGCTTTGTTCAGCTGGTACCTAGTTGATTGTGAACTGCACAATGYGGGACGCTAGTCCATAGCAGTAATGTTTTTAGTAAATATCTGTAAATCCCAACAAACGGACAAAACATGACTCATAAATATTATTAGCGTGTTCCTTAAATTTTTGATTTTAAAAAATGTTTTGTCTCACCCCCTAAATGTGTGCGTATATGTATARAAATGAACTGCAAAAAATTTAAAACCAATCTGTTAAGATTAACCCGTGCTGATTTGTAATTTAAGTTTGAACTCCTTAAATTTTTAAATATTTACGAAAATTTTCCACATTTCCATAAATATTTCGTTAACCTTTAGAAATATCGACATTTTTTATATACTATATTTTAAAGTAAATTAAATTTCCTATAACTTTTATGGTATGATATTTTTTAATATCTCCAATAGTTCGTGAAGTATATTGACTAGAACGTAAAAAAACATGATATCTTTTTAAATACGACTAGCATAGTAACGATTAGTAATAACTAATCATAAATAATGTTATAGAATAATTATTAATAATTATGCTTATGATTTATAAAACTTTTTAAAAAATGTAACATTTTTATTATGAAAAAAAATCCTATAGAATAAAAAAWGTTAATACTGTAAWAAAGTACTTTTTTACAACCTGGATAAATTTTCCGATGTTCTTGTACACATTTTAGTATATATTGTTTTTGACCTTCATCTAATGTTAATGTTGCATTATATTGTTCCAACAGCTTCACGGCTCTTTCTGCAGTATCRTCAACTATTTTTAATGAATCAATAATTTTTTTACCATTTATGTAACTTTCACTAGATTCTCAGGAAGTCTGATCATTTTTAAAAATTTGTCATCAATGTTAGGCTGGAAAAATAATTTTAAGCTTTCTTCTAATATAAATGCGTYAATATTTTTTTCTGTAAAAATTATAATATAAAATAAAATGAATTACTTATATTTTATTTTATGAATATTGTTAAACGTATTCAATATGTATTTTAAACTTAAGGTTTATTTACTTACCAATAAATTTATYATCTATTTGGTTTGGTTTAATTATCAACCCTCTGGCCGGATATTTTGTSGCTTTTCTTCTTAAGGCTTTTACCATCTGATGCTTTACCTCTAGTGGTATAGAATCATCAAAAAAAGATAATGCAGTAGTTTCTTCGGTTAAATACCACAAGTGATTGCATAATTTTTTAATTGATATTCTAGATATTTCTCTTTACAATTTATAGAAGATATATGAAATTATATGAAGCATTTGATAGAGAAATATCTAATATAAAATAAAATAAATTATATATATTTTTTTTTATTCTATAKGATTTTTTTTAATAGTTTTATAAATCATAAACACAATTATTAATTATTCTAAACATTGTTTATTATTAACTATTACCATTGATTATAAATACCAGTATAGAGTAGCATAGTAATGATTAGTAATATTAGTATTTATAATCAATGATATTACTAATCATTACTATGCTACTTGTATTTAAAAAGATATCATGTTTTTTTACATTCAAGTCAATATATTTCACGAACTATTGGAGATATTAAAAAATATCATACCATAAAAGTTATAAGAAATTTAATTTACTTCAAAATATATAATATAAAAAAATGTCGATATTTCTAAAGGTTAACAAAACATTAATGGAAATGTGGAAAATTTTTGTATACATTGAAAAATTTAAGGAGTTCAAACTTAAATTACAAATTGGCACGGGTCAACCTTAACTGATTGGTTTCAAATTTTTTGCAATTCATTTTTATACATATACGCACACATTTAGGGGGTTGAGACAAAACATTTTTTTAAATCAAAAATTTAAGGAACACCCTAATAAATATACTTGAATAGTGTGTAGTGTCTTGTACTCCTATTAGTAAATATCAGAGAACAATAAGTTTGTATGATCCGCGKACAACAAATACACGCATTGCGTGTAACTAATTTAAAATATTAAGTTTTTCAATTTTACTGACTACATGCCTACAGTGTTCCCCATAGTAATATTTTTAATCAATAGAACTGCTAAAGATATATAATTATATCAACTTAACGTTTTATTTATGATGGTTGATATATATATATATATATATAAAGTGGTTTATTGTGCTAAAATCAATTAAGATATTTAAATTTGAATTAGCTTTATTTTAATGTTCATAATATTAAGAAGACGCTACACCAGCATGTGTTGTCTCCGTCTTACACGTGTACTACATAGCAAATTTTCGTTCGCTAGATTCAATAGTGTGTTGTTAGTTTTGATGTTAATTGACCCATTATCAAACTTTTAGGTAAGAACTAATGTTCTATCTGTGTTCTCGTGTTGGTTTTTTACAATATTTTAATTTTTAAATGAGTTATGTGAATTTTCAAATATTCACATTTAACATGCTCATAACTCAATTAAAAATTAAAATATCGTAAAAAACCAACACGAGAACACAGATAATGTTCTTACCAAGAAGTTTGATATTGGGGGTCAATTCACCCTAATATCAAAACTAACAGCACACTATTGAATCTAGCCAAAGAAAATTTGCTATGTAATACACGTGTAAGACGGAGACAACACATGCGGGTGTAGCGTCATCTTAAGAGATATTTTTTCTATTTATTATTATTGTAATTACATGACCGAAGGAAGGAAAATTATTTTGATATACATATTTCAATAAAATTCAGCGTTCATTGACATTTTCGGAAAGTTCATAAAAAGTATACACCACATATGAACAACATAAATTTGAAAATGTAGGTAAATTATTATGTGTATCAAGTCACTTTTATATTTAAAATAATAAGATAAGCATTTACTGCAAACCCCCCCCCAGTCTAATGACATCAAGCGTTTATTTCATTGCATCACAACTCGTTTATGTAGAAATGTTAAACCTATACCCYGTTATTCTTAGAACTGAACATTCTATCAAATTAAAAAATACTCATTTTTGTATTTTGCGTTCTTTTCAATGTTAGTGGATTGATATATTRTAAATGAACCACAATWATTTAAGTTGTATTGTAACAAATAAATTAATCATAAGGTACTTGTTTGTTATTGCCTCGCCAGTACACCGTATTAAATTTATCTCTACGCCACTCTTATTTGTTATCGTCCCTCTATATAGTTATCGTGTTTAGCTCATGATAGATTATATATTTTAGGAAATAACTACACTTTGCAAAACATTCTATATCGTAATATCAAATAAATAATAATATATTTCTGAGTTCTGGCCTCCTTTGTAAATTTTTAATTATAATACATGTCATTGATTATAATATATTTTATTAATGGGGGGGCGATAATAAAAAAGAGTTGCGGGGAGATAAATTTTATACGGTGTACTGGTGGGGTGATAACAAAAGAGTACCCCAATCATAATATCCATCTCTCAATGAATGAATTATTAAATTTGATTTAAAAGTTGATTCAATTTTTTATTTATTTATTTAGCTGTAGATCAAATAATTAAATTAAGTAATGGTAAAGCAGCTGCTGTTGCTGATGAAGAATCTGAAGAAGAGAGTTCTGATGATGAAGAAGTTGTTGCGCCAAAGCCAAAGATTAATGACAAAAAAAGCAAGGCAGTAGTAAAAAAAGACGAAAGTTCTGATGAAGAAAGTTCAGATGACGATGATGAACCACCAGTAAAGAAAGGTATCTATAATATAGATCTTTATTCAAGGTTATATTAGCTTGTTTATACTGATAAATCTTGTTATAATTTCCTGCTAAATTTTGGTTATAATCTAATGTTTAGATTTAATTTTTATGGACTTTAATAATAACTTGTTTTTAACATTAAAAATAATCATTTTGTAGCATGTATTGCTCCTGTTAAGAAGCCAGCTGCTGAGGAGGAATCTAGTTCAGAAGAAGAGAGCTCAGAAGAAGAAACTCCTGCTACAAAAAAACCTGTTACTAAACCAGTTGTAATGCCGCCTGTAATTAAGAAAACTGCTGCAGAAGAATCATCAGAAGATAGCTCTGAAGAAGAAAGTTCTGAAGATGAAAAGCCTGCAGTAAAAAAAGCCCCTCAGGTACCTGTAAAAAAGGCTAAAGAAGAAGAAAGTTCAGAAGAGGAAAGTTCTGAAGAGGAAGCTGTAGTTAAAGTTCCAGCTAAAGGTAACATTTTAACATTATTATTAACTGATTACTGATTATTATTCCATGTGTATATTTTTATAAACTTATTAAACCAATATTAAAATTATTTCTTAATCTTAATACTTATGTATTCTTACTTTATATGAAAGGAATTTATTTTAAAACAAAAAAAAATTGACAAATATTTTATAAATAATGATAATTATAAAACTATTATTTTAATCATTTTCAGTTGTTGCTACTAAAAAGGGAAAGACGGAGTCTAGTTCAGAAGAAGAAAGTTCTGACGAAGAAGATACACCTGTAGTTAAGAAAACAGCCGCCCCTGTAGTTAAAAAAGCAGCTGCTCCTGTAACTGTGAAGAAAGCCCAAGAATCTAGTTCTGAAGAAGAAAGTTCTGAAGAGGAAACTGTAGTTAAAACTCCAGCAAAAGGTTTGTTTTAAAAATTATTTACCATAGTATAGCTATTTCTATTTTTTATTTTTTTAGCTCCCGTTCCTGCTAAGAAAGCTAAAAAAGAATCGAGTTCTGAAGAAGAAAGTTCAGAAGAAGAAACTCCAGCTACAACCAAACCATTGAAAAAAAGTAAATAAACATTTTTTTTTTTTTAAAATTATGATTACGATTATTTATTGAATTTTAGCTGTAACTAAACCAGTTATTGCCAAAGAAGAAAGTGAAGAAGAATCAGATGATGATGATGACGATGAAGAAGAAGCAGTTAGCAAGACTCCAAGTAGTCAGGTAAAAACTGATGATCTTGTTTTAAATGCACTTGGTTCTCATGTAGATTACCTATATTTACTTAATAATTTACTTTTTATCTTTTCTAATTGACAATATTCTATATTTTCTTAAAATTTATATTTTATTTAGATCAAAAGTCAGCCGTTTGTTAAAGCAGCAAATGGAGATGTAAGTAAATTTTAATTTGACCTATATATTAACTATTTTGGAAGAACTTAAGGATAAGGGTTAGGGTTAGGCTAGATATTAAGTATGTTTACTTCTACATAGTTTTCAATATGTCAATTAGATATTTGTTATTTAAAAATAAAAACAATTAAACAATGATTTTAGAATAAATTATTTATGGGAAACATGGAGCAATTTGATACTAGTAACAATTCTTTTGAAAATGGTAACTCTTTTGGTTCTGATAAAAAGAAAAAACAGCAAAATAGACGATCAGATCCTTATAGACGAGTTCGTGATGATAATGTCAGTGTTGATGGGCGTCTTTTGGATAATTCACTTAAAGCAAAGGTAAGGTTAGCCTTAATTTTTGTGGCTAACCAAACTGGCGCATGAAAATAATCTAATAATTATAAAATAACTTTATGAATAGTGGTCTTATTCAAATTCTTCCAAAATAGTCTTCTTTTTTTTTGTGTTTGATATTTTTCATGCTCAGTTTGGATTAGTTCACTAATTATTAATATTACTTCTATATAGGATGAAAATGGTTCCGGCAACAAATGGGGTGAAGACCGACAGGGAGGTTTTGGAGGTGGTAGAGGCAATAGAGGAACTCGAGGAGGATTTGGTTTTCGAGGTGGTCGTGGAGGCCGTGGAGGTTTTAATCGTGATGATGAAAATGGAGGAGGAAGAGGTGGATTTGGCCGTGGTGGGGGTGGTGGTCGTGGGGRTGGTTTTAAACGTAAATTTGATGACTCAGGAGACGGTGAAGGTGGTGGTTTCAGAAAAAGTTTTGGAAGTGGTGATGAAAATGGTGGAGAACGCCGTAGTTTTGGAGACAAAAGAGGATTTGGGGGTAATAGATTTGGTGGTGAACGAGGAGGATTTGGAGGTCGTGGCGGTGGCGATAGAGGCAGAGGAGGATTTGGTGGTCGTGGAGGTGGCGGAAGAGGTTTTGGTGGACGCGGTGGTGGGGACCGTGGTAGAGGTGGTCGTGGTGGTGGTGGTGGAGACAGATATTTCAATAAAAGTTTTGACTCTAATAGTTCAACACCGCAAAACAAAAAAATTAAATTTGATGATTGAGTAAGTATTATAGTGATTTACACAGTGTACAATGTTTACTTAGTAAATAACCTTTTATCAGTCAATGATATTGTGCCAAGTGTTTCTGTTTACTTAGTTTTAATAGTTATGTATTTTCAGAAAGGTCAATATGAAAATTGGGGTAAGAAAGCTGCTCTAGACTTACAATACACTAAAGGAAAATCATTTAGACATGAAAAAACAAAAAAAAAACGTGGCTCTTATCGAGGTGGACAAATTGATGTAGGTTGTAATTCCATTAAATTTGACGATTAACAATAAAATCGTTTTCAAATTAACTTTTTATTTTTTCAACATTATTATTGTTATTACAACAATTCCTATCATTATTAAAATGTCATTTTATAACTTAAGTATAAACAAGAGTTTGTAATTGMATTCTTTAAATTTCTTTTATTAATGAATGAACTAGATTCGTGTATTTTAAGTTTAGAAGTAAGATTTGTAAATAATTAATATTTAAGTGACTGTAATTAAAAGTTATGTATTCATTTTTGAATTAGGATATAATTTTAATTATTATAATTACCTCATTTAAATAATTTAATGTATGTTGAAAAATAAATATTTTTTGATAAAATATAAGTGGTACTATAAATAAATTAACTGTTATTTATATTCTATATAAAATAGAAACATTAAATATGGYCCATACTGACACTCGTTTCCTGTAACCACTGTCTTGAAGTTATGTTGTACTTTTTTTTTTGTTAAAGTTTCTTTGAAATTAAGTGATCTAAACTTATTGTTATTGAAGTTCTATATTTTTGCATTTGGAGGACAGTTAATAACGTACATAATGTTATAAGAAAGTAATTTTAAATTACAGTGTTTTAATATTACGTTACAAGTATTTTATTAGGAAGGTAATAATACTTAAATGAAAGGTTCTGGAACTCTATGCTTGAGTCAGCGTTCAAAAAATGTAGTACTTTTAATAGAAGATGTGTTGTTAATTTTTTTTATGTACCTCTGTTATTGTTGTTAGTTGGAAGTCTGTGAAGTGCGTCATTATGATCAAACTTTAGAGCMTTGGATATTCTCTTGAGATCTTAGTATTGAAATACTTGAATTGTGTGTATATAGGCCTTAGCACATTTTATCTAGCATTAGAGAATATCTCCAGCTTAATATGTTAGTCTATTGATTGGTGGGTATAAATGGTATAATACTTACAGCCTTTGGTAGCTTTGTTGTAATTTAGAGGTGATAAGTGGTAGTATTTGGTGTTAGGTGACAAATGACAATAGAATACTATTATCATAAAGTTTTAAGTTSCTAAGATTTTGGGGGGAAAATTAGGTACTAGTTCGATCTCCACTAAAAAGGTTACATACTAGTTTCGGGCTTTCGGCCACCCCTCAAAAAGGTCCATACTCAGTTTTAATTATATAATTATTTAATATGCGATTTTATTTGCCAAAATTTTACTAATCAACATTTTTCTTTGACTGTCTACACTTTTATTAATTGTTTAGGGATGGATAAAGTAGTTGATACTAGTTTTAATTTAATAGTGYCAAATAAACTCGGTAGTTAATAGTTATAAACAAGTTAAACTTGTGTCAGATAATATATTTTTTAAATGTTAAACAGTATTACTAACAGACTTGAATAGTAAAATTTTGGCAAATAAAATCGCATATTAAATAGTTATAAACAAGTTAAACGTGTCAGATAATATATTTTTTAAATGTTAAACAGTATTAAAAGCCCCTAATTCAGCAATACTAAATTGAAGAGAAGTTTGCGTATGGCTGCCGTTATGAATGTTTGAAATAGCTTCAATTGTCTTTAAACCAGGGTTTTTACTGAGTACTTGTTSAACTTTCTTCTTAATTTTTATTCCAACCTCCCCAGGGGCTTCTTTCAATTTCTTTACGGTGTTAGAGACAATACCCAGGCTATCAGCAAGAGACAAGTTTTGAGCTTCAAGTTTCGTAATAGAATTGGCAAGGAWTGTAGTATTGGRGGATATGTACACTAAATTATTTTTCAATGAGGTACTTTTAATTAAATTTTTAGCATTTTCTACTGAAACAGCATCTGTTTCAAGTTTGGAAATCACATCTTCGACTAGGTGCTTTAAGGAAAATTTTTTTTATAGTTGATATCAAAAAATCAACTTCGGAAAATTCTGATCTAATTGTTTCTGCGACACGATGGAAAGCGTGAGCAAGACAGGTCACATGAACTAATTTAGGATAAAATACATGTAAAGCAGTTCCAGCTTTCACCATATAAGGTGCTGCGTCTGATATAAATAAGAGTACTCTTTCATGCAAAATACCATTTGGCCATAGAATACCCAAAGAATCGTTGACAAAACGAGCAACTGTTGAGGGGTTACATTTTTCAAGAACTTCAGTATTTAATAAATATGGCTTTGAAGCATAATCTGAATTCAATTTACCAACTATTATATTCCCTACGTACCTTCCTTCTACATCGGTTGTCTCGTCCATGGAAACCCAGATTGGTCCGCTTGAAATATTTTTTCTGATATTAATCAACGTGTTCTCGTACAAGTCAGGTAAATAATTTTTCCTTAGAGTGCTTRAATCAGGAATTTTGTCGCTAATGTATTTTTCAAGAAATTGACGAAAATTAATATTATCGATTTTTCGCAATGGTATATCTGCTTTAATTAAAGCTGTGCATAAGTCACTATTAAAAGTTGATTTATTGGACGATGACAAGGTGATGAATTGTTGTACTGTTGTTGTCTTTCGCTGTTTATTTGCTATATGAATTGCGGTTTCTATGTGTTGTGTAACTTGAAAGCGCTGAGTAGTTGAWACGGCTTTATCACATCATGCATCACAGTATAAAATATTCGAATCGCTACGAAATGTTTCGTTCGGAAAATCTCGCACGTACCTCATTACGAGGTCTCTTTTTTTAGGAGCAACTTTCGGCATTTTCGATTAAACACAGTGATATAATGACTCATTACTCATTTATAAAATATAATTAAACAATTGTCATTTTTCATGTGTTATTGAATATTTTTTAATGCAAAGTGGTTCATAAATCAGTGGTAGCTTCTGATCACTGGGATCGCTATAATAATGTGCATAATGCATATAAACTTCTTTCTTTTAGTTTGTGTATGCATATTAATTTTAAATGCATAATAAACAGACGTCAAGAACTGCAACAATATATTGCATTTTGTACATTTTTAATTTTTATACGTTCTCAGTATAATACGAATTATTAACCCTTTCATTAAAA